CCTACAGATGGCTGTGTGTAGAAAATCCCAGTAGTTTCTGAAATACTCAGAGCAGCCTGTGTAATACCAACAACCAAACCTGTTAAACTTCTTTTCCATCTCTACGTCCATAAATGCGTGGAGCTACTGCTATGTGATTGGCTAATTAAATATTTGCATCGGTGAGCAGTTGTACAGGTTTACCTAATATAATCTTTCATTATCTCGTTTACAAACCCATCAATCTACATCATGTGTGTCAAACCCGAGGCCTGCGGGCCACATCTGGCCCAACGTATATTTATATCCGGCCCGCGAGATCATTTCTATATAGATTCAGAGTCGACTGCAGAGGTGCCCATTGTGTCCCAGTCAAACAGTGCTCAGCAGTTATTAGGTAAGATGACGTCTTTCTGTAGTTCATTATTCTAACAAGCAAAAAGTATTAAAGTGATGTTTACGTTGTGTATTTCAGACGGTGAGATGCAGAACCTGCAGGCCACAGGAGAAATGTAGTTTTCTGTAGTTGTTCAGTATCTAGAGGATACGTGTCAAACTCGAGGCCCGTGGGCCACATCCAGCCCAGCGTACATTTATATGCCTGCAAGATCCTTTTTATATAGATTCATTCATTCATATTGTTATTCACGGCTCGGCAAAATGAAGCGCTAATGAGACAAAAGCTACAGATTCAATAATTCAGAGTGTCAATCAAGTCCAGTTTCTGTTCTGTGTCAGGGTCTGGGTCTGCGACCCATCTTTTTGATTTCTTTTTATAGTTATTTCTTCTCTCCCATGATAATGAACATATGTTAAGTTCTGGTGTTGATCATCATTTAGGTTTTAGCTGAGTTTCATTATGGTTTAGATTTTCTTCTATGCCCTTGTCTGTTCTTGTTCACAGCATTATGCGGTCTGTCTTTTACTTTCAGTATGCTTGTGTTTAAGTCTCCCTTGTTGGTTCGTCAAGCTTGCTGTGTGTGTGCGTGTTTAGTGTCACTTTCCCTGTGGTGTCTGCTGTTTCCTCATGTGTTTCCACTTTCCCTAATCTCCTTTGTGTGTATTTAGTCTGTGTGCCTTCTTTCTTTGTCGGATCGTCTGTGTTACCTCCTTCCATGTAGTCACATTTCTCATACAGAAAGTAGAAGAGCTAGTGTTAGGGTTAACTCTAACGGTAACCCAGATATTGGCAAATGTGAGCTTGAGTAGAAATACGGTCGGGTTTGTGAGATGACCACTGATTTAAGAACACAGTCGTGTGAAAGAAGCAAATACTTTATAGCATCATGTGTTGCTGTGGATAAAAGTACAGACATGATGGACATTACACAGCTGGCCATCTTCATCCGTGAAGTGAACTCCAATATGCCCGTTTCAGAGGAAATATTGGACATTAAATCGATGCAACGACAGGAAAAGACATGTTTGAACACTTATGACGGTTATTAGAAGTTATTCTTTATTCTAAGTGTATTTATTCTGAAACAATATTCCTGTCTGTTTTTATTCATATTTATGTTCAAAAAACATTGTTTTAGTGTTTTCAATAAATGCTTACCCTGTTTGGCCCTCAACCTAAAGTGTGCTTTGAGTTTTGGCCCCCTGTACAATTAAGTTTGACACCTCTGATCTACAGCAGCTGCATCCTTCACAGCCTTTGTGATACGGACTCTCCCTGGTGACCAGAAACAAGAGTCCTTCACCAGTCCTGTAAACCAATTGCAAATAATTTTGGATCCACCTCCACCAGAAAATCAACAACTGCAAATCATAGCATACTGGGGGGCAAGCAAAAAGAAGTCAACTAGTACTGCATTGCCAGTGGCACATATTCAGACTTCAGTGGCAAAAGCACCATTTTCCATTTTAATTCATCAACTAATACAACATGCATGTGTTTAGACAGATTTGAAAGAAACAACAAGGCATGTTTAGTCCAGCGGGAAGCTGAAAGGGCATTACAGTTTTCAAAGACCTGACACGGTGCTTTGACAACTTGGCAATCATGTCAAATATTTCTCACTATAAGAATTTCCCCCTTACATTACACAAGATAAGATAAAACTTTATTAATCTCTCGGGTGGGTTCCTCTGCGAAATTCAGTAAAGATCGGCACCCAAACAGGGACTTGAACCCTGGACCCTTAGATTAAAAGTCTGATGCTCTAGCGACTGAGCTATCCAGGCTCAATAATTGCTTATTAATGTAATAGTCTGAGTCTGCAATGTATAAGCAGCCATAGCCATAAGCAGCCACTGAACAACTCCTCCTGCTGTTTAGATGTCCTGCCAACAAGTTTTTTCAAAAAGGTCTCAAAGACTTTAGAGTCAGACCTGTTACAGATCGTCAACTTTTCTTTATTATCAGGTGTGTTTCCAGAATCACTAAAAACTGCTGTAATCAAACCTATACTGAAAAAGGACAATCTTGACAAGACACAAATGAACAACTACAGGCCGATCTCAAATCTCCCATTTTTAAGTAAGATCATTGAAAAAGCAGTTTCTCAACAGCTCAATTACTTCTTAAAACAGAATAATTGCTACGATGCCTTCCAGTCAGGTTTTAGACAGAACCACAGCACTGAACCCGCTCTGACCAAAGTGTTTAATGACATATGTCTGAATACAGACAGTGGAAAAATGTCAGTCTTAGTTTTACTGGATCTCAGTGCAGCATTTGATACAGTTGACCACAACATATTACTCAAACGACTGGAGAACTGGACAGGTCTTTCAGGAACTGTACTAAACTGGTTCAAAACATACTTAGAAAACAGGAAATACTTTGTATCAATAGGTAACTTCACATCTGAGCAGACAAGTATCACATGTGGAGTTCCCCAAGGTTCCATCTTGGGACCCCTTCTGTTTAACATTTACATGCTCCCACTGGCACAGATTATAAACAACAACAAAATAAACTATCACAGCTATGCAGATGACACACAAATATATATCACAATGTCACCAGGAGACCAAGGCCCTGTGCAGGCTCTTGGTAAATGCATTGAGGAAATCAATGACTGGTTGTGCCACAATTTTCTCCAGCTAAACAAAAACAAAACTGAGGTAATAGTCTTTGGCGCCAAAGAAAAACGATTACAGATCACCAGAGAACTTCAATCTATACACCTAAAAACCACAAACCAGGCGAGAAATTTGGGTGTAGTGATGGATGCAGACCTAAACATAGAGAAACACATTAAGACAATAACAAAGTCAGCTTACTATCACCTCAAGAATATATCAAGGATAAAAGATCTGATGTCTCAACAGGACCTGGAAAAACTAGTCCATGCATTCATCTTTAGTAGGCTTGATTACTGTAACAGCATCTTTACAGGTCTACCTAAAAAATCAGTCAGACAACTACAGCTCATTCAGAACTCTGCTGCTCGAGTCCTCACTAAGACCAAAAAAGTGGACCACATCAGTCCAGCTCTGAGGTCTTTACACTGGCTGCCTGTCCGTCAGAGGATAGACTTTAAAGTTCTGATGCTGGCCTATAAAGCTCTGAATGGTTTAGGACCAAAATACATCAGTGACCTCCTGACCCAGTATGAACCTTCCAGATCCCTCAGGTCATCTGGATCCGGTCTTTTATCAGTTCCCAGAGTCAGATCCAGACACGGAGAAGCTGCATTCAGCTTTTATGCTCCTTATATCTGGAACAAACTCCCAGAAAGCCTCAGATCAGCTGAAACACTCAGTTTATTTAAATCCAGGTGGAAGACTCACCTATTCTCAGCTGCATTTGAATAAAGCACCAAATCCACACTTTTAAGCTTAAATTTCAAAACTTACATTTAACTACTGATTTTATCTACTGTTCTGATTTTATCTGTTTTGATTTTATATACTGTTTTGTTTGTGTGTTTGTTAATTAGTTAGTTTATTTGCTTGTTTTAATCAATTTTAAATCATGCTTTTTATTTGTTTTTGTTTCTAATGTCTCTGTAAAGCACTTTGAATCACCTTGTTGTTGAATTGTGCTATACAAATAAACTTGCCTTGCCTTGCCTAGTCAGCCAAGTCATAATGAAAGCAACAAACAACTTGTGTTTTGATGAAACTGCAAACCCTCCTAGTCAATAATCACATAAGCTGTACATGCAGGAAGCAAAGGCTGATAAAGGAGCAGGCACAACATTCAGACAAATCCAAGACATAATGAAATGAACCACAATAACTGTGTGTGCATAAATCAGGTGTCAGTGAACACATAACCATCAAAGATCTTTAGAACCACAGCCAGATAACATTTTTCCCCAAATAAATGTGTAGATTTTAGCTAAATATATATTATAGAATCAACACCATGGGCATTTCAGATTTCACACAGGTGGTTGGTTGTTACACTCTGGAAATGTGAGTGTTATGGACCCTCTGTGTGTGCGTGGGGTTAAAATGATGCCACCTTAAAATGAAACTGAGAATAATTAACACGAAAATGTTGTATCGAAAGGGGGAAAATAAAACTGAAAAAAAGGTGAATTGAAACCGTAAAATGTGCGAATAAATTTTTGTTTTCTATTATTAACTAAGTTTTGAAACCTACATCTTTGTGTTTTTTTGCTTACATCTTTTTTTCCAATTTCAGTTTGCTGGCAATGTTGCTGTACGAATGAGTATTACGGCCACATTAAGAAAAACTATTATAGATAACATTGAAAATAAAGTTTCAATTTTGAGATTAAAATCATAATTCAATTGAGAAAAAAGTCCAGATGTGGAGATTACAGTTGTTTCAAGACAAACTGCAACAGTTGCTGTACCCTCTGAGTTAATGTAATTGTGCTTCCGTTTAGTCTCCATGCAGGAAATGATTTCTCTTTTAGCACACAAACACAGTGTGGTGATCAGCAATAGGTGAAAAGATGGTGTGGAAAGCTGCATCTCATCAAAAAAACACACCAAATGAAATCGAGGGTTACAGCATGAGGAAGGAAGTAATGAAGTACAAATACTTTGTTACTGTAATGATGTCACCGTTCACTGAGGACTCACACGCAGGACTCTTCACTTTGAGGAGAAATAGTTTATTACACCAGGTATGTGTACAGACAGTGCAGGGAATTGTGCTATATACAAGTGTGACGGGGTCCAGGCTCCAGGAAATCCAAGGTGGGGAGGACAGGGAAAGCTTCTCTTTGCTCACTCACTGCTCGCTATAGCCACTCTCCAATCATTCAAAACTAAGGATCTGCTCCGGGAAAACAGGGCCACGTCCAGGGGAACTAAACACAGAGTGTACACATTAGAATGAAGGCACAGAAATAGCAAGAGTCTAATGCTAAGAGACCTTTAGGAGACCTTCATTACTTTAGGTTTAACACCTTTAAGGGGAGTTATTATTTTGTCACTGCGAGCCTCAAATCAAACTGCTTTGAGATTAAACAGTAACACATGAAATTCATTCCTGTTGGTGTATTAATCACCAGCAATATCACAGAAAAAGAAATAAAAGTGGCAAAACTATGTGTCATAGTCAGGGCTTAAAGTGTTTCCTTTTTCTTGCTTTTGGCCCAATGACTGATTGTAAAGCTCACATGTAAGTCTTCATGTTTTTAAATCAGATATTGGTTCTGTACATGTGACATTATGTTTTTTCATATCCTGAAACGTGCTGCTAAACAAACTGAGGCACTGTGCTATTTAAAGGTTGCAGGTTAGTGCAGGATAAACAGGTTAGTTTGCTGCAGAACAGTGTGTGACTGCTGCACAGTGGCTGTGGTTTCATGCTCAGAGTTTGGTTACATCAAGTGTAGCAGAGATGAATTTGCAGTTAAGATTCACTGAATTTCACCTTCATACCAGCTGAATAGTGTCTAATAAAAAGAGCATAAACAGTTTACTGTCAGTGTAGAGGATGGAAAGCAGTTCAACTCATAAAACATCTGCTGACATCTGGTTGAATTCACTTGTGTAAATCCACAAAGAACAGCAGGTCAGCTGATCACAGCCTGTCCATTCAGAAAATCTACTGGAGCTCTCAGCAGTAATTATACTGAGTCGTGAATGTTTTCCCCACACTGAGCTGTTGCAACTGATTTTAGGGTTCCTCCACCTGCTGAATCCACTTTAACCCCTGACTGCTCATTTTCCTGTTTAGAGACAAAGTGACCTTCTACTATGTAGGCAACAAAAAATAGAGCCTTTTTCCTAGTGTAAGTCCAGAAACTCACCTCAGACATGTTGTTCTTTTCCTCACTCCACCGCAATCCTGGAGAAACGCCCCTCTCTGTAGCTTTGCTTCAGCATTTAATAGTGAGTGAGTCCTGCTCCCATGTCATTCCCTCCATGTCTCGCCTCGACCTTCATGATCCCTGCTATAAATCAAGTTTTCATTCAAATCAAACAAACATGTACTGAGTCAGCTTTTGGCTCCAACCTCTTTACACCGGCTGCTTGGCCTTGACAGCACAAGGTCCTGGACCACGTTTACACGTCTACATAAGTTAACAGATGTGAAGTATTTTCACATACGGTCCTTAAAGCTTCTGTTAAAACGTTCCACAAAACTTGGTTTAATCAATGTGTGATGTTAAACTGAACCATCAGCTGATGGAAATGTTTATTATTAAACTCCTCGCCTTCATCTATTTGAAGTTTAACAGGTACACATCCTTCACTCAGAACATCCTGAAAAGCAGATGCAACAGATGTTCCTGCCTTGGTTTGAAGACACCTGCATGCATACTTGGAAAATCCATCTGTACATGTCAGTAAGTGTCTCACATTATCATTATCTGCTCAATATTCACCCATATCAGCCAAATCAGCCTCAAACTGTTTGTCAGTTCCACTAATCAAAACTCTGTTTCTGGGGAAAAGTCTTCTTGCTGGTTAATAACAAAGAAATAAACTGTTGGTAGATCCACTTTTTACAACGAATCATCCATCAATAAAAATCTAACTCAGTTCCAAAACAACAAATTCAAGATTCATATAAAAAATCCAGCCCAGCAGGGATCAAACATCTGATCAAACACCAGGGTTGGACACAGACTTTCTAATCTGACATCACAAAGTTATTCTGAAGCTGTAAATCTAATTAAAAACTCCCCAAAACTACTAAGAGAAAAACCTTAAAAGGTTCAGTGATAGAAGGAAAATCCTTTACATGTAAAATCAACAGAGGTTCCTGATAAACAGACTAATAAATGAAGAATAACTGAACAGTTTCTGTGTCATGAGTGAAATTTCAGTGAGTATGAATCATCTCCAGGAAGTAAAAAGGGTTGGAGCTCAGCATCAGTCAGAAGAGGAAGATGAGGTGATGAAGAAGAGAGCGTTCAGTGGAAAAAGGCCAGTGAGTTCATGTAAATGCTGCTTCTGCTGTAAGAAACAGACCTAAAAGTGAACAAATGCTTCATGATGCTCATTTCTATCCACCATCTTGAACACTGGCTATAAATGTGTTCACTTCATTATTGTGTGATTTGGTTTCTTCACGTGTCTCCTTCAGTGCAAATAAAGGACTGTTAGAGTGTGTGCTGTGTGTTTGTCTGAAGCATGACAATCCTTTCCAACAAGTATTTCCAGCTGTTTGTCTCCACTCTGCACTTTAGTCTTTCTTCCTGTCATGTCTGTGTTTGTCCACCAGGTGTCTCCCTCAGCTCATTTTCTCCAAATCAGAAGCTTCAGATTTGTGGAGACGCTCTGCCTGCCAGACACCGCTCAGGGCAAGAAACATGTCTATCCTCCACAACATACAGGCCTGTGTTATTTAGTTCAACAGTCCCCAACCTTTTTGTGTGTCACCGACCGGCTATTAAGGTGTTGTTGATAAATACAACAAAATAAAACCAGTATCGGTACAAAAAAATGTTTTCTTCTCTTGCTGCCTGGTCTGTCTGGGGCCCGGGGGTTGGGGAACACTGATTTGGTTTTTTATATTTAAATGTATAAATAAGTGAGTGTGATCAAGCTTTTCATCTCAAAAAGACATTAAATGTCATCACTGTAGATACAATAATAATAATAATAATAATAATAATGATAATATAATATCAAAAACCTCAAGGATTAATTTTTTTGTTACATTTTAAAAGTTCAAACCTCAAAGACATTAAGTTTACAGTCATATATGATCAAGAAAATCAACAATCTTCACATTTCAGAAACTGGAACCAGCTTTAAATGTGACTAAAATAATGATAAAACAATAAATTCTCTAATCATTGACTAACTGATGAATCACTGCAGCTCCAATATATTGTTGCATTTGACAACCCACTACAGCAACTACAGAATAAAACCACTAACCAGACTGATGACAGATTTCAAACATGCTGAATATGAAGAGTAGTATCATTTAAACTCACATGATTATCAGCCATAAGAACAAATTCAGATTTATATTGATGTAAGGTATATAAATGTAAGTACAGTTTGAATCAGTGCAACATTATTTTCACACATCAATGGACCACTGAACTTCTCAGCTTCTAAAATGTAAAGCCTCATTTAGAAACTACACAAGTACATATAATGGTCAGGGATCAACATGAACCTGTCTTCTCTATTTGACTTTAATCAACTCTGCAGTGTCTCCATCAGAGTAATAAAACCGAATTCCAGCATAGAGCGGCTGAGTGAATGTGGTCTGGACTCTGTGGAGGAGAGTCATGGTTTCAGAGACGCTGTAGAAAGACAGAATACCTGCTCTGTGATCCAGGTACACTCCTACTCTGGGGGACCGAGGACCTGAGAGGACAGTTTGGACATTGTTGTGCCAAAATTGAAAACTGTTTGTGTCACAATGTAATGCCCAAGATTTGTCATTGAATCCAAATAAACATTCATTGCCCAACCCTGCTCTGCTGATATTCTTGTATGCAACTGCGACATAAACTTCTCCCCCTCTCCACTCCACCTCCCAGTAACAACGTCCAGTCAGACTCTCTCTACTCAGGACCTGAAAAAATACAGTGAATCTGTCTGGATGATCAGAATAAGACTGTTGTTGTTCTGTTCTTGTTACTTTTCTGTTCCCCTCAGATAATAACAGCTCTTTGTGTGCTGTGTTTGGATCCAGTGTGATTTCATGTGAATATTTTAAGAATCCAGCTCTGGTCTTTGGCTCTGCTGGTGACAGTAAAACATCCTCTTCAGTGACTGTCAGTGAGATGTTTGTCCATTCCTCTCTCAGAATGTCCTGTAGTTTATCTCTGGTCTCTGACACAGCTGCTGTCACATCCTCAAAGTACCTCAGAGGACGGATATCGATGCTGGATGAGTGTGTAGACTCACTGAGTGCTGACAGTGAGGGGTAGTTGTGTAGAAACTGGTTGTGATCCTCTGTGTGTGAGAGCTGCTCCAGCTCGCCGTCTTTCCTCTTCAGCTCAGCGATCTCCTGCTCCAGCTTCTCCTGAAGCTCTTTGACTCGACTCACTTCAGTTTCCTGCTGGGATCTGACCTGCTGCTTCACATCAGAGCTTCTTTTCTGGAGGAGACGGATCAGCTCAGTGAACATCTTCTCACTGTCCTCCACTGCTTTATCAGCAGAGCCATTGATGGCCTCCACCTCCTGTTGAAGCAGCTTCACATCTTTCTCTCGCTCCTGGATTCTCTGCTGGATGTTTAGTCGTCTCACCTCGAGCTCCTTCTGCTTCTCAGTCCTTTCTGCTGCAGCTGGGACTGTTTCATGGCCTTTATGTTCATCCATTGTGCAGAGATAACAGATACTCTGCTGATCTGTACGACAGAAAATCTTCATCACCTCATCATGACGAGAGCAGATGTTGTCCTGGAGCTTCTTGGAGGGGGCCACCAGCTTGTGTTTTTCAAAGGCAGGAGACTCCAGATGAAGCTGTATGTGTTTCTCACAGTAGGAGATCAGACACACCAGACAGGACTTGATGGCTTTCAGCTTCCTCCCAGTGCAGACATCACAGGCCACATCTTCAGGTCCAGCATAGCAGTGATCAGCTGGAGCAGCTTGGAGTCCAGTCTTCTTCAGCTGCTCCACTAAAGCTGCTAACATGGTGTTTTTCTCCAGGACAGGCCTCGGTGTGAAAGTCTTCCTGCACTGAGGGCAGCTGTGGATTCCCTTCCTGTCCTCTTCATCCCAGAAACTTTTAATACAGTTCCTGCAGTAGCTGTGTCCACAGGCTGTAGCCACCGGATCCTTCAGTAGATCCAAACAGATGGAACAAGAGAAGGTTTCTCGGTCCAGCTGAACTCCTTTCTGCGCCATTTCTCCTCTCAGTGTCAGTGACTGTGTGAGTTTCTCTTCCTTATAACTGAAACTAGTCTGAGCTCTGATCTCAACAACATGTTTCTGCAGTGAATGGAGCCTGTCAGCTCTTACACGTCACCACATGTTGGTTACACCCATCTTCAAACTGCAGATCTGAAGGGGAGGGAACGAGGAAACACGTGGACAGAGAGGAGGTGCTGTGTTTAAGAGCAGGAAGAAGAGGGAGGGTTATCAGGCTGTGCTTCACTCCAGGAAGAGGAGCAGTTAGAGAGTGAAACTGTGTGTTTAACCCTTTTATTTACTGCTCACATCAACTTAAGCTTGTTAACACTTTCTTCTATATAAATAAATCACACTTTGTGTGTTTTTCTTTCTGTGATTTGAGATCATCACATATTTATTTCATAATTTTTACATGTTATACGCACAAAAGAGCACTTTTTAAATATTCAATGTTCAGCTGGAAATGAATGTGAAACTTTGGTGATGATCTCAAATCACAGAAAGACACAAAGTTCTGCTCTCTAGGTGAACCAATCCTTGTCCACCTTCCTCTTGGGCAAAAAAAAAGTACTGCCTGGAGTACCCAGTGTCAATTGTCCCAAAAGAAATAAACCAACAAAACTTGAAGGTCATGTATCACACCAGGAGGGGGTTCTATACAAGCTAATTGATGCCATAAACAGAAGTGGCCAAGTTATTTATAATCAACACTCTCCCTCTATATGACATTTGGGGCAACAGCCACCTCCACTTTTCCAATTTTCCCCCAACTTTCTCCACCACCCCTTCCCAGTTCTTACATTCTGTAGCCTCATCTCCCACGTACACACCCAGATACTTCAACCCTCCCTTTACCACTTCAGCTCACCTGGAAGTGGTGGGAGCCCAGTAAGCCAATCACCCACCACCAGAGCCTCACTCTTCAATCAATCAATCAATCTTTATTTATAAAGCACTTTTCATACAAAAAAATGTAGCACAAAGTGCTTTACATAGTTAAAAGCAGCCCACCCCACCCTCCAACTAACTCCCCACACTCTCATTAACATAAATGATGTGAATACACACATATCCCCCCCCCCACACACACACACACGCGCACACTTAAAGAGTAAAATTGGGCTGGGCTCGCATGAGCTAAGTGAGGAAACACTATAACAGGGAGCCGTCTGCACCGGGAGCTGGTCACAGACCGCAGCCTCCAGGCTGGGCACACAGCAGGAGGGAGGCCAAGGAGCCCCCCAGCCAGGCTGAGAGGACCCCAGAGACCCAGCAGCCACGGTCAATCACAGCTCCGGTGCAGAGAGCGCCCTCCGAGGAAACACTGGAGATATGACACAATAGGATATATACAGGGTAAAATGATAAAATAAATAAGAACAGGATACAATATAAATATAAATATAAATAGAGTAAGAAGAT